CTGGCCGAATGAGTCAATGTGATCCCTCCCCGGCCATTCCCTTCTACTGACCTGCACTCTGCAATACAACTGGAAGAATGTGCTCGGATGTCAGCTGTTTGGATTTGAGAACAAACATTCTTCCAGTTCTAGTGCAAAGATTTGTGTGTTCGCAGTACAATATCCCATCATGAATGGTTCACTGAGGCTCCTAAAAAAAGGTTTGTATTACAGTTTCATTAAAAAGGGAATTTTGCTTAAAATGTATTTCCACTTTTGCGGCCAGATTGGGATAACACCTATTTTATATTTGTTACATGTTTCTCATTCACATAGTAGAACTATTTTTCTTTTGTAATTGCTGCTTGCACAATACATGCTCTATTCTGAAAGAAACGTTGTTCTAAGTATGCAAAGGAGGGCGGGGTAGGTTAATGTTAACGTAATTACCCCTATCTACACTGTGCTGGCAGATCTCAGTACCAGTTGTTAACTAGACAGTGTCTGCCCTAGCTAAGGATTAACCTAAAAGCATTGTATGTTAAAGAGGGGAAGCTCAGCCTGTCCCTGGTCTTTCTATGGGGACATATAGAGTTTCCGGTTACTTGGAAATTGAGAGAGAAGATTGAAAAGGCACTGGGTCTACGGACACATCTAAAAAATAAGAAATTTAAATAAAAAAAGATTTTCCATTATGCTGGGTGAATGGGAACACATAACAAGCATATAGAGAGGTTTCCTCGAATTTGACTGCAAAAGTGGAAATACACTTTAAGAAAAAAAAATAGCACACTGATTTTAGGTTGTACATCGAGATGAACAGCTCAGTGTGCAATCCCTGCACTCCTCAGTGCCAGGATGCATTAACTCCCATGCGCATGTGCGGGAGTTGCGTCATCTCAAGTCAACCTAGATTTCCAAAGACAGCAAACTTGGAAGAAGGCTGGGTGAAGATGTTGGCGACGATGAGGGAGCACGCAGATGTTACATCACTGAAGAAGAGGTAAGTTTAGTTCCACTGTAAAATGTTGTTTCAGTGCACTTGATGCAGTTTTATCTCTTCGTGGTTTGTGCATTTAGAAGTGTTAACAGTGCTTAGATAGTCCCAAAAACATTCAAGAAAATCAACTTTTTTTTATCTTAGGCAGAACACACCTTAGCAAAGGTATCTCAGATGTTGGAGTTTACATTCCAGAGCAAACCAGCGTTGTTGGTAAATACGGTGTGCGCTTGCTGTAATCTGTGTGCGCTTGCTGTAATCTGTGTGCGCATATTTGAGTACACTTGCTGCAGTTTTATTCTTGCATGGTATGAACATGTAGAAATACTAACATCACTTAGATAGACCCAAAAACATTAGAGAAAAACTAATTTTTATACGAGGCACACCACAGCTTAGCAGGGGTGCCTTTAGATGTTGGAGCATACATGCCACAGCAAGCCATCCTTGTTAGTAAATACAGTGTATGCACTTTGAATACATAGCGAAGGAATGATACATTCTGTGAATATGCGGATGGCTTACTCAAGTGCGATCGATGCGCTGAAGTACAGGCTTATCATTTAGTAAATTAAACCCAAATTCCTCCTTTTATTTATTCATTTTCTTCTGAGCACTGAATATCACAAATTTCAAGGACTCCTAAATCTTTTGGTGCGGTAATCATAGAGAGGTGCGGGAAATGGATGTACAGGAGGAAAGGATGCAGCCACATAGCGCCCAACCTCTGCTCATTGTCTGTCTCATCCAGGGTCATAATGATGATGATGCAATCCAAGGGTGTCAGAAAGAGGGCACAATGTGTACTGCCAGGCCCTGTGTCCTCCCCAGGTACCACCCCGATGGGGTCCTGGGTACACACAGTCCCTTCCAGGATAACACTGGCTGCTCTCTGCCCCCAGATAAAGGCTGAACCTCCCTCTCACGTCACCAGCAGCTGCTGCAGCAACTCAGGAAAAACTTCCAAAACTCCCAGACGGTGAACAGGAGAGGAGCGGAGAATGAGGTTGAGAGGCGAGGCTGCTGGCTGGGTGAGAGCTGCCAAGAGGGACTGAAAGCCTTACTGCAAGGACTGAGCACCTACTGCATACTGACTGCAAGGACTGAGCACCTACTACATACTGACTGCAAGGACTGAGCACCTACTACATACTGACTGCAAGGACTGAGCACCTACTACATACTGACTGCAAGGACTGAGCACCTACTACATACTGACTGCAAGGACTGAGCACCTACTACATACTGACTGCAGGAACTGAACACCTACTACATACTGACTGCAAGGACTGAGCACCTACTACATACTGACTGCAAGGACTGAGCACCTACTACATACTGACTGCAAGGACTGAGCACCTACTACATACTGACCGCAGAAATTAGGGACGTACCAAATACTGCCCGCAGGTATCTACAACAGTCTCCTTTCCACAAGAACTGAGGCTGATCTGTATCCTCCAGACTCCAGCAAATTAATACCTTGGACCAGAAAGGTGGGACTGAGCGCTTGGGTCTTCGGGACCAATAGAGAAATTACCTTTTTTCTGGAACCAAGGCTGTCTGCCTGCCAGGACTACACGAATCAGCAAGGGGCAGAAATACCAAATACCAGGGACTGGCTGCTGTTGCTGCAGCATAATTGCATGAACTGGCTCATGACTGGTGACCACCCAAATCTACCACCACACCTCCATCCAGCAATCCTGCGATTGGCGGATCAGCGATTTGGCTGCTACGACAGACCACATTTCACCCCGGTGGAGTTGCAGTGTCAGACTGTCCCCCTACCACCACCCTCCACACTGGATCCCGGTGCCTGTAACATGTGGCGATATAGTAAGTTACTGACCTGCGTCACCCCTGTCTGGGTACAGAAAGGGGGAAAGGATAATGATGACACCCCAGGGAGGGCCTGGGACAGAGTTCACCCTTTAGAACCTTTAATAATTTTGTTGTGTGTGTGTCCCATAGGAGTCCCACTTCCTGTCTAGAGACACAACAGGAAGTGAAAGGCTATCTCTCCATAGGAAATTAAAGGAGAACTATGGGGTCAGTGTTTTTCCCCATAGTTCTCTTTGGGGTAACGGGAGGACACAAACTAGCGTCCTCCCGTTACCCTAAGCTCAGTATACCGCAAGCTACAGCTCGCGGTATACTGAGACGCCGCACCTGGAGCGGATCCCGACTTAGATGACGGCATCCGCCCAGCTGCGTGAGTGACAGCTGGCTCTGCCTATCTAGAGGCAGAGCCAGCTGTACCCGCCCCCTCCCCCGTCCGTTCCGCCAGTCACAGGTCGGCTTAGAACTATGAGATGAGTGGAAATCACTCACCTCATAGTTCTCCTTTAAATATCCTGAGAGATCAGGCGTCCCCAATGGAAGATGTCCCCTCTGTTCCTGTTCTGGTTACAAGTGTCTGACAATGACCAGCAGGACAACTAGAGGGGTTGAATCTCCCGAGCAGGGACATAGACAGCAATAAAACAGACTGGGGCTCTAACTCTACTCTACTCCATCTATTAGGGTTCATTGCTGTACACATGTACATTAAACCTGTGAGATATACACAGGGGGGAGTTGGGGGGCAGATGAGCTAAACTCAAAGATGTTTTGCCTTGCTGAGTATATGAGGAAAATCAAGACATTTCAGCAAACTTCAGTGCAATGAGCTGGAGTCAATGTTGAAGGAAATGGGGGAGCTTTTTGTGGAAAGGGCATGAAAAGGGTTAATGGAACTTCTTTTCTTGTTAATTTTTACGCTTTGTAAACTTTTTACACTTTTATTATTTTTGTTATTTGAAAAAAGAACATGTAATGCACCTAGAAAGGGCTATGGTGAAAGCCGGTGAAATACTTTTTAGGTAAACAAAGCCATGTGATCACCTGGTCAATTCTGACATGACTTTGTATAATTTTTTTCAACAAAAGGTTAGGGTTAGGATAAGGGTTAAAAGGTCATGGTTAGGGTTAGAGGGCTATGGCTGAGGTTAGGATTAGGGTTAGAGGGTCATGGATAGGATTAGGGGGCCATGGTTGGGGTTAGGATTAGGGTTAGAGGGTCATGGTTGGGGTTAGAGGGTCATGGTTAGGATTAGTGTCAGAGGGGCATGGTTAGGGTTAGAATTAGTATTAAAGTTAGAGTTAGAGTTAGAGGGATAGTATACGCATTAGGGTTAGAAGGTATTAGTTAGGGTTAGGAGTAGGGTTAGAATTAGGATTAGAATTAAGGATAGAGCTAGGTTTACAGTTAGTCCTAGGGGTAGGTTTAGGGTTAGTGTAAAAGTTAGCCATAGTGGAAGGTTTAGGGTTAACGTGACATTAAAGTAAATTTTCCCCCTCCCCCAATGTTAATTAAAGCACTTACCTTAAATGATGTTAATCCAATCTTCTTCTTCTTTCCTGTCGTTTTCATCTGTCCCTCCAGCGCTGCTGCGGGTCTCCGATCCAGCGCTGACTCCTCTGAGCTTGCTGGCACTTCCTGTCCCACGGTGTCTGCATGCGGGTGCACGCGTCCATAGACTTACCTTGTGTCTCTCCTCGCATCCCGACCGAAAATGTGAACTGCGCATGTGCCCGCCCCAAAGTGCTTTGCGGCCGCCCGAGGATCTTCACATTTTCGGACGGGAGCGCGCAGGGAAGACACAGGTGAGTATTAACCTCTGTTAAAGCGATTTGTTTTTACACTTTTTGCATAGATCTACTGCGTGCTAGCAGTAGATCTATGCAAAAAAATGGAGGCTTGAATTATCCTTTAAGTTTCAGATTAGTGTAGGGTTAGGGTTAGGATTAGTGTAATGTTTAAGGTTAGAGTTAGTGTTAGGCTTAGGGTTTATGAATGGCCTTGTTTACTAACAAAGCCATTGATTCCACCATTGTCAGCACTGGAAGTTCTTCAAAATCTTCTAATCCCCACTAAGGAGCCATTAAATAGTTATATTTGTTTACCTGAACTTCCATCACACCTGATAAAATGTGTCTGACAATATTTTCTCTTCTCCTCTATGATCTCCAGGCTGTTCCTGCAGCTGATAGTGGGACCGGTGACATTATACTACAACCTCCCCTCTCCTCTCTGGATTGTCACCAGAGGCCTGGTGCAGCACCATGCTAGCCCGAAAGAGCATCATCCCCGAGGAATATGTCCTGGCCAGGATCGCTGCAGAGAACCTGCGCAAACCACGACTCCGCGACAAGCAACGCAAGGCTCGCTTTGTGGCCAAGAATGGGGCCTGCAACGTGGCACACAAGAACATCCGGGAACAGGGCCGCTTCCTGCAGGACGTCTTCACCACCTTGGTGGACCTCAAGTGGCGCCACACGCTGGTCATCTTCACCATGTCCTTCCTCTGCAGTTGGCTGCTCTTTGCCATGATGTGGTGGCTGGTGGCGTTCGGACATGGTGATATGGACATCCAGGAGAACCATCCGGACTGGGAGCCCTGTGTGGCAAATGTCAGGTGAGGTGCATGATGGAGGAGGCTGCTGACTTCCAGCCTTTCCCCAGGGCACAAGGCAATAATTATTCTTCTTTGCTATATTTAAGTTGAGCTATCATTAGCCCATTAGAGCCTTAAAATCCCTCCATGAAAATTTAGCTTATGTCTAACCCTTTTCTGAGCTGATTCGTCTTGTGGCAGCTTCACCATAATAGTTTCTTCTATCTCTCCATTGGTGAGATATCTTTACTGGGTTCCTGGGTCTCCACACCAGTTGTGCCCATTATGAGGGTTTCCCACCATCCCTGCACTAAATGTATGGGTCTCTGCACCTGTTGTGCCCATTATGAGGGTTTCCTACCATCCCTGTGCTGAGCTCTCAGGTCTATACACATGCTGTGCCCATTATGAGGGGTCCCTACCATCCCTGAGCTGAGTTCCTAGGTCTGTGCACCTGCTATGCCTATTATTAGGGGTTTCCACCATTCCTTGTGCCGAGTTCCTGGGTCAACAAACATACTGTGCCCGTTATGAAAGGTCCCCACCCTCCCTGATCTTAGTTCACAGTTCTGTACACCTGCTGTGCCCATTATGAGGGGTTCCCACTATTCTTGTGCTGAGCTCCCAGGTCTATACACATGCTGTGCCCATTATGAGGGTCCCAACCATCCCTGAGATGAGTTCATGGGTCTGCACACCTGCTATGCCCATTATGAGGGGTTTCCACCATTCCTTGTGCTGAGTTCCTGGGTCAGTACATATGCTGTGCCCATTATGAAGGTTCCCCACCATCCCTGATCTTAGTTCTTAGTTCTGTACACAGGCTGTGCCCATTATAAAGGATCACCACCATCACTGAGCTGAGTTCCAAGTTCTGTACACTTGTTGTGCCCATTATGAGGGGTTCCCACCATCCCTGCTGGATTTATATCTATTAAATATTACGGAAAATGTAGGTGGGAGGAGCTGGGACACACACCAGGGTTGGGGGGACAGCTAAAAGTCGAGAAAATATTGCAAGAAGATTTCACTTCTGGAGCTCTAAAGATATAGCTAAAAACAGGGTGAACAAACAAAGCTTCCACTTGTAATTAAAATATCATTTTGGGTGGACTGACCATTTATAGTTCAGCTCAATCTTCTTGCAGAAGTGAGCCAGTGAAATCATTATATCTGTGCATGGTATGTATCTGTTTTTTTCCATAATTAGGCTCTTGAAGTGTCCTCTGTGCTTGTTGATACTTTGTACCTACTGTATGTGAACACTCTGTAGCTATAATGAAAGGAAACTCATACAAAGAAAAATACGGAGGCAGCCATTGCTAAACACACCTTCTGAAAATACAATTTTCCTGGCTGTCAGGCATCTGCTTAGCAGCGGCGTTCTTCTTTACACCTCGGACAGGCCCCCAGAATTCCCTAGAAATGATTATTTATTTTAGTCGGATAGCTGCCCAATACAGGTCCTCTTATTCTGTATGTCTCGGGCATTTGGGGCGCTCCGCTCGAACATTTAGACATCATGTGATAACATCTTTCGGAAAACCGTATTTTTAGTATTAATATAAACTACAGCCAAGGGAGGAGCTGTCTGGAAATGAGCGTTGTAAGACACATGACACGCAGCTGGTCACCCTGTCTTACATAGAAAATGCTCAGCGGAGCTTTACATGTGGGGGTATGTGCTCACTGAATGGGAGTGACATCATTAATTAAGGGGGCCAGTTCACCTATATGTAGTATTTTAGTTACAGGTCAGGTTTGGTGGGCTGAGCCTTGCGCTGGTGCCCTAAATCACTTGAGGGCCACAGTGGTAAGATCTTCCCGCCATAGGCTCTGGCTCTGTTACCACCCATTCGGCCTAGGAAGTATAAAAGATGACCTGTTACACGTAATAGTAACTTAATTTTTTCATATTTCAGGTCATTCACCGCGGCGTTCCTCTTCTCCATCGAGGTCCAAGTGACGATTGGATTCGGCGGGAGGATGATGACCGAGCAATGCCTGGTGGCAATCACAGTCCTCATCATGCAGAACATTGTGGGCCTCATTGTGAACGCCGTCATGCTCGGCTGCATCTTCATGAAGACAGCGCAATCCCACCGTCGGGCAGAGACTCTGATCTTCAGCCGCCACGCTGTCATAGCCGTCAGGAACGGCCGGCTCTGCCTGATGTTTCGAGTTGGAGATCTGCGGAAAAGTATGATCATAAGCGCCTCGGTGAGGATTCTGGTGGTCCGCAAAACGGTCACGCCAGAGGGGGAGGTGATCCCCATCCACCAAATCGACGCCCCGGTGGACAATGCGATCGATAGTAACAATATATTTCTGGTGTCCCCACTGATTATCTGCCACACCATAGACAAGAGGAGCCCCCTCTATGACATCTCAGCATCTGACCTGGCTAGCCAAGATCTGGAAGTCATTGTCTTATTGGAGGGTGTTGTAGAGACGACTGGGATCACCACGCAGGCCCGGACCTCCTACATCCCCGAGGAAATCCTGTGGGGCCACCGCTTCGTGCCTATCGTCTCAGGAGAAGAAGGTGTCTATTCCGTGGACTACTCCAAGTTTGGCAACACGGCAAAGGTGGCCACCCCTAGGTGTAGTGCCCGGGAACTGGACGAGAAGCCTTCCATCCTCGTCCTGACGCTCCAGAAGAGCGAGCTGTCCCATCAGAACTCACTGCGCAAACGCAATTCCATGAGAAGGAACAATTCCATGCGGAAGACCAACTCCATGATAAGGAACAACTCCGGACTCATCATGCCAAAAGTCCAGTTCATGGCGCCGGAACAGAATGCGGCCGATACATGACAGAGACATAACGTCGGTTTAGTCTTCTTTACAATTGTAGAGATTTTCAACCAATATTTATTGTCTTGTATACAGCACCTTCCCGTTCATCTAGAATTTGCTAATTTTTTTTACCCCTTGTGCACTTAGAATAAAATTATTTATCCCGAATTCTACCGCCTCCAGTCCTTGTAACCTCTGAGCACAAACATGAAGAGGTTCTCCAGTCTTTCCACTTTTTTTTTACCCCTTGAGCACTTGGAATAAAATTATTTATCCCGAATTCTACCGCCTCCAGTCCTTGCACACCTCTGAGCACAAACATGAAGAGGTTCTTCAGTCTTGCCACTTGCACAGAGCTGCTATTCATAAAATTATCTTTCATCTCAATTTAGGACTCATTCATCAACTTACATGGAAAGCTAAAGGGCTGTGTGAGGTCTGAGCTCTTATTTGTAATCAACCAATGTTGAGATAAACTAAGTGTTGGGTAGATGCTGCCACAGATACTAATTCAGTTCTACGAGCATCTGGCCTAACAACCAATCCGTGTAGCTGACCCCTGAGAATGCCCCTGACCCCAACCTGGCAATCATTCCTCATAGCTGATTCCAGAGAAGGGCTCTGACTTCGACCTAGCAACCATTCAGTGTAGCTGACCCCTGAGAAGGCCCCTGACTCCAACCTAGCAATCATTCCTCATAGCTGATTCCAGAGAAGGGCTCTGACTTCGACCTAGCAACCATTCAGTGTAGCTGACCCCTGAGAAGGCCCCTGACTCCAACCTAGCAATCATTCCTCATAGCTGATTCCAGAGAAGGGCTCTGACTTCGACCTAGCAACCATTCAGTGTAGCTGACCCCTGAGAAGGCCCCTGACTCCGACCTAGCAATCATTCCTCATAGCTGATTCCAGAGAAGGGCTCTGACCTAGCAACCATTCCGTGTAGCTGACCCCTGAGAAGGCCCCTGACTCCGACCTAGCAATCATTCCTCATAGCTGATTCCAGAGAAGGGCTCTGACTCCGACCTAGCAACCATTCAGTGTAGCTGACCCCTGAGAAGGCCCCTGACCCCGACCTAGCAATCATTCCTCATAGCTGATTCCAGAGAAGGGCTCTGACTCCGACCTAGCAACCATTGCGTGTAGCTGACCCCTGAGAAGGCCCCTGACTCTGACCTAGCAATCATTCCTCATAGCTGATTCCAGAGAAGGGCTCTGACTCCGACCTAGCAACCATTCCGTGTAGCTCCCCCCTGAGAAGGCCCCTGACTCCGACCTAGCAATCATTCCTCATAGCTGATTCCAGAGAAGGGCTCTGACTCCGACCTAGCAACCATTCCGTGTAGCTGACCCCTGAGAAGGCCCCTGACTCCGACCTAGCAATCATTCCTCATAGCTGATTCCAGAGAAGGGCTCTGACTTCAGCCTAGCAACCATTCCGTGTAGCTGACCCCTGAGAAGGCCCCTGACTCCAACCCGGCAAACATTCCTCATAGCTGATTCCAGAGAAGGGCTCTGACTTCACATAGCCCCCTGCCCTCTATCTTGAGGAAGTGAATGCAGTAAAGGTTACACATCACTGAAAAGCTCCTCTGTATGAGAGGAAAGATTCTAAAGTAAATCCAACGATAAAGTCATATGGGGTCTGGATTTACACTATGGCCTCCTTTGTGACCACACAGACGGCACATTGCAGGGTCAGATACGGCTTCCAGAGCGTTGCATCCAGCGAGTGTGGCAGCCAACATTGCTGTTGTGATGACATAACTGACTGTAAATCAAAGTGAAGAGAGACCCCGTCCAGCCTGGCAGAGGAGGGACCCCCCAGGGTTGGGCTCATATGGGGGCCTCCCACTGGAAGTGATAGTCTCCTGGCTGTTGTGTTGATCCTCTGGCTTCCACACTTTTGAGGTCACCTGGAACAAGTATGGGTTGTTAACGTCAGAGCTCATTATCTAGTTATAGGCAACTAGCATTCTCAAAGGGAGAGCTCAGCAATGGCTGCCTCCATGTTGCTCTGATCACAGGTCTACATTGAGGCTGCCCATAGACAACAAATCTTGGAGACTACAGTTCCTGGCTCTGTTCCTGCACAATACATGGTGTTCCCTCTCCTCCAGATGTATTTTCTTTCATATAAAATATATATTTTTTTAATTATCTGACGTTTAAACGAAACTGTCAGGTGGTTTAACTCTCCAATATCCACCAAACTTTGATATGTCAGGTAGTAGTGCTTTATGTCCTGACACTCAGGATGGCTGTCTATGGCCTGGGCGTAGCAAAGACCAGACAGACGCTATAGAGAAGAGTGAATCTCAGCCAGGAGTGTCCCTAGCATAATCACTGCCTGAGGTGGGGGGTGCTGGTGGTCACGTTCTGGGGGAAAGGGATTATGTGTCTACAGAGGATGCCACCATCAGTATCCCCCAGAGATGTAAAATACAACGGGTGACAGGTGTTTTAACTCTCCGGCAAGTACCGAACGCTGAAATGTTTGTGTTTTGGGTGGATTGACCCTTTAAAGTGAAATCCTACGTCCGCGCACACATAACAAGGAGCTGAGCTCTGGAAACAGACGTGGCTCCAGCTCGCGGCTCGCAGCACACAATTCCTTATAAGGAAGATTCAAAGACGACTTAACAACTGTCTTATTTCACCGACCTACAAATGTCATGCACAGGCCAGAGAGACGGCTGGCGCTGCACCGCGGCCTATGTGGGTGCCACACCTGATTTTTTTTTAGGGGAAATCATTTAATAGGAAGCCAGAAAGTTTAAAAAGCAAAACTGATACATTTGTATCTAACAAAGCCGCGCAGGGAGCAGCAATGCTGCGCAGGAACCCATAGCAACCAGATATCACCTGCCTGTGAAAGATGGATTCTGATTGGTTGGGTCTTAAAGGAGAGACAGCAAGGAGAGAGAGACAGAGACAGAGACAGCCAGGTCAAAGAATAAGGAGAGGCAGACAGGGGAGAGAGAGAGAGGAGAGATAGCCATGGGAGAGAACAAGGAGAGACAGCCAGGAAAGAGAGAGAGGAGAGACAGCCAGGGGAGAGAGAGAGGAGAGATAGCCAGGGGAGAGAACAAGGAGAGATAGCGCTGGGGGAGAGAACAAGGAGAGATAGCCAGTAAAGAGAGAGAGGAGAGATAGCCAGGGGAGAGAACAAGGAGAGAGAGACAGGGGAGAGAGAGAGGGGAGAGAGAGAGAGGAGAGATAGCTAGGGGAGAGAACAAGGAGAGACAGCCAGGGGAGAGAGAGAGAGGAGAGATAGCTAGGGGAGAGAACATAAAGTGAGAGCTAGGAGAGAGAGGAGAGACAGCAAGGGGAGAGAACAAGGAGAGATAGCGAGGGGAGAGAACAAGGAGAGATAGCCAGTAAAGAGAGAGAGGAGAGATAGCCAGGGGAGAGAACAAGGAGAGACAGCCAGGGGAGAGAGAGAGAGGAGAGATAGCTAGGGGAGAGAACATAAAGTGAGAGCTAGGAGAGAGAGGAGAGACAGCAAGGGGAGAGAACATAAAATGAGAGCTAGGAGAGAGAGGAGAGACAGCCAGGGGAGAGAACAAGGAGAGATAGTTATGAGATAGAGAGAGGAGAGGCAGCCAGAGAAGAGAGAGGGGAGAGACAGCCAGGAGAAAGAGCGAAGAGAGACAGCCAGGAAAGAGAGCAAAGAGAGACAGCCAAGGGAGAGTGAGGAGAGACAGTTATGAGCTAGAAAGAGGAGAGGCAGCCAGAGAAGAGAGGAAAAACAGCCAGGAGAGAGAGCAAAGAGAGACAGACATGAGAGAGAAGAGACAGTTAGGGTTAAGAACAAGGAGAGACAGACATGAGAGAGAGAGAGGAGAGATAGCGAGCAACACAGCCTGAAGCAGAACCCCTGTGCCCTTCAAGACTTATCTGCACCCCGTGTTTCAGACACCTCCTTGCTCCCTGAGTTCCCGCGTCCCTCCTTGTCCTCTGCCTCCTCCATGCACTAAAGCTGGAACACCAGGACCTAGTGGTTGCCCCGTCCACCTGACATCATGCAATCTTGTGTCACACAGCACATACATGACTCAAAACCCGGACCGTCCGGATGAATCCCTATTCTGCACACTATGGCCTCCTTTGTGACCACACAGACGGCACATTGCAGGGTCAGATACGGCTTCCAGAGCGTTGCATCCAGCGAGTGTGGCAGCAAACATTGCTATTGTGATGACATAACTGACTGTAAATCAAAGTGAAGTGAAGAAGTCCAGCCTGGCAGAGGAGGGGCCCCCCAAGGTTGGGCTCTGGCACCCATTACAAGGCGTATGTTACCTTGGCGAGGAGATGATACAACCCCACCGTGAGCGGAGTCCTGCCAACCATGTGCCCGTTATTCACCAGACACAACGCAGCTCCTCCCGCAAGACATGGGCCGGAAAGTTGTCATTTGTCATCTGCCGGCGGCCCGCAATCCTAAGTAACAAGCCGCGTGGCCGGTGATTTACTACGGAAAAGTGGACTATTAGAAACAAGTGCTTGGATCCGGCTCCGCCATAAATTAGGCCAGAAGGGTTCTGGGCTGTACATGTGTCTGAATAACAAGAGATTAGTGACCCCGATTCAGTGTTCCTCTGCAGGGGGTGTATACACACAAGGTAGGTGGCCGACCCGTCACACTGGGGGGCCAGGACCTGTCAGCAACTTCACAAGTCTCTATGAATAGATTCCTGACATGACACAATATACAACATTCTGAAAAGTGTTACCTTTCATATTTAAAAAGATGTCCTTTAGTCAGTGACTTTCCCTAGGCTGAGATGATGTCATCAGTCTGCTGCAGGCAGGAGGAAGCGTTTCCTCAGTCTCCTCTCCCCTAGTGATCAGTCTGCTGCAGGCAGGAGGAAGCATTTCCTCAGTCTCCTCTCCCTCAGTGATCAGTCTGCTGCAGGCAGGAGGAAGCATTTCCTCGGTCTCCCCTCCCCCAGTGATCAGTCTGCTACAGGCAGGGTGATCAGTCTGCTGCAGGCAGGAGGAAGCATTTCCTCAGTCTCCCCTCCCCCAGTGATCAGTCTGCTACAGGCAGGAGGAAGCATTTCCTCAGTCTCCTCTCCACCAGTGATCAGTCTGCTGCAGGCAAGAGGAAGCATTTCCTCAGTCTCCTCTCCCCCAGTGATCAGTCTG